ACATCTGTATCTGAAAACACTGCCTCATGTTAAGACTGTTCAAGCGGCAATGTTTGGCTGATGATTTTATTTTCTCTTTGTCTTGGAAGCTTAAGTCTGGAGGTGTGGGCTAGGAATGCTGGCTGGGAAATGAGGCCCATGGTAACTTGCCCTAGGCAGGGCTATGAGGACATGATGGCAGCCATGCCAGTTCCCAGCATCTGCTTGCCTTGAGCTCTGCTCTAGCTATCTTTTGGCCACTGTGTATGGGCTGAAGCTGGAAGTGAAGGGAGAGTTCTCTCCCATTACCTCCATACAGTCTCACAGTCAGCATCAGCCAACGAGTCCTGCTGGGAAGGACATCCTAAGCCGCTCTGTGAAGCCTTCAGCCTGCCAGACCAAACCATACCCAGGTCATGGGCTAGTATGGCGGAATTCATGGCTGCTCTGGTTTGGTATGCATTGGAGGGCCCAGAGTGAAGAAGAAAAGAGAAAGGCTTGGAAAGGCCTAACAGGGGTGGATGTGGCTGTATTTTATTTTTCAGTCATCTCTAGTACATAAAGTGTTTATGAACACAGTTTTGTTTTCAGCGATGACAGCAGCATGCAGATGTGAATATGGATCTTGGAACATGCCACAGTGATGTAGAGCTTGCCTCGCTCTGTGAGTCCTGAGTGGTTTAAACAATATAAGACAAACAAAACCAAACCACATCCATTAGGACGCACAGGCTAACTCTGCCTTCAGAGGCATCTAAACACAGCGTAGAGGGTTCAAGTTTCACCCTAAAGCTGGGATTCATGGGTCAGAGAGTCACAGTCAGCTCATTCCCACTGTCCTGAGCACAACCTATCCTAGGAATGATGCCGATACACAGGAAGAAGAAACAAATCTCTAAGGCAATTTCTGTCACAGAGCCTGCAGAGAGTGTACAGAGGGCCTAACAGAGTCTGTAGGAGTCATTCGAGGCCCAGCACCCAGGACATGGCAGACCTCAGCCAGCCCTCCGCCTACTCCAGCTTTCAAACTCGGCACTCCATCAGGGAATCTCTCTGGTAATTGGTCCACCCCTTGAAAAGATGAAGGGTGGTTTGTGGGAATTGTCGGATGGTGGCTTAGGTTGGAAAGGGCCATGGGTCAGAGTCATCTAGCTTTTAGCAGACCAAACCTGACGTTCCTAAGGTACCCAGTCATGCTTATCCCCAAGGGAAGGACCTGTTACAAAACATCAGAGAGTCTGTCCAGGATAGGCCATGATTCTGAGTCTCCAACATAGATCTTAAAATCCAGACACTTAGACTTGGAAACAGCATGGTCCTGAGGTGAAGGGCCATCTTGGATTCTGAGACTTGGAATGACTTCCTCTCGGCCCTATACTGAAATTCTGGGAGGTACTCAATGTCCTAGAGTAAAAGAGAAAATGTCTTAAGGAAAAAAAAAAAAAAAAAAAAAAAAAAAAAAAAAAAAAAAAAAAAAAAAGGTGGGATAGATGTGGCCACATTCTTGTTTAGCCATGACCTTCCTGTGATTCAGAACCTGGGAAATCGTGTATAAACAGACCCATGCGTCTGCTCTCCTGGGTCTCCTGGCCTCCAGGGATACGCTCACCCTTGCTTGTGCATTGCTTAAAGACTGCTGTGGGGTGTCTGCCGGACAGTGACCACACACAGGTGGAAGCCAATAGAAGGTTGTTATGAAGCAGGATTTGTGGCACATGCTTTTAATTCTGCTCTTGGAATGCAGAGACAGGGGGACTGAGGACTTTTATTTTAAAGTTAGCCCTGAGCCTAAAATGGAGACAAATTATGTTGTCCTCTCAACAGACAGACAGACAGACAGACAGACAGACAGACAGAGAGACAGACACAGACAGAAAGAAAACAGCAGGAAGAAAAAGACTGAGGGACTCTGGGCGGAGGGGACTCAAGCTGGCAGATAATTGGTTTTATAGTCTGTAGGAAATGGACAAAAGATCACCACGGTGGCAGGGGTCTGGAGAAGGCGCCGTAGTGCAGTCTTTCTGGGGTTGTGAACCTTGTCACCACCATTGGTAGAACTCAAACTAACACACCGAAAAAGGAGGAAGTAACAAGACACAGCTACCACGAACTCTGAAGGCCAGACACGGAGGTCAGAATCCTGGGCTATCAATGCACCAGTCCTCTGTGGCCTTTAGACGATGTCACCTGTCAGGAACAGGCTGAGCCCACTCGGGTGATTCTTCTGTATACTTTCATATGAGCCAGTTCCCTCCCTCCTCGTGAGAAATCAGACACTGTTACAAGTTATTTGTTCTTGTATGTGTTTATTACACAGCTACTATGTGTTGTCTAACAAGTTTTGTGGCTACAAGACTGAAAACTCGGCCCGTACCCACACCCCACAGCACAGCCTCCTGAGGCTGACAGGAGGATGCTCAGTATTTGTCAGGCAGGCCAGCAGGCCTGTAGTGATTGGGGTCCTTGCCGCTGCGGCCGTGTCTGTTGGCTTCCTGGTCAGCCATGGTGTCCTCATGTCCACGGCCTAAGAGACTCTGAAAGTTCTCTCTCGCGTCACTAGGAGAAGCAGACAAGAAGGAGACCTGTAACCAAGCTGTGTGACAGGTCTACCCCGACAGTTCTGCCCTGTGCATGGGATGGCTTCAGGAGGAAACCAGGAAGGGCCAGGAAGGAGGGGCTGAGACCCTGGTCCTAGGCTGGTCACCCCACACTGGCGGAGCGTCACCAGAAGCACGGGGCTGAGAGCCACTCCCTGTCTGCACTTGGGAGCAGGCTCACAGAGCATGGCTGTGTGCTGACTCTGCCGCAGCCCGGGGTCCACACCGGGCATAGATGGAGACTCTAGCTGCATGAGCAAGAGGAGGAGGCCTTCAGATTAGCTTGATCTTCTCCAAGCTCATCTTCCCCTGCTCTGCCCAGAAGAGTGAGCCCTGCCACCCACTCCTGGTCCCGTCAGTCGGTGGTACCTGATGACTTCAGCGGCCCAGACTCCCCCTGGCCCCCTTTGGGCAGCGTCATAGTTCCCCCGAGCGTGGAAGTATTTGTCTGAGTTTTTCCAGTTGGCCTCTTTCATGTCGGAGTAGGCTCTCCACATGTCCCCAGCCCCTGGATGGGAAAGGCCACAGGAACATGAGCCTGAAGACTCTGCCCATGCCTTAGGGAGGACAAAGGAATTCAAAGCACTCCTGGCCTGAGCCTGGGCTCAGAGCAGCCTGAAGCTGACACACCCAAGGGCAGGCCACACTCAAGCCCAGTCCTGCAGCTGTAGGTGCACGGGGAAGACTCGGCCTGACCCAGGTGGTATTACAGCTTTCTAGGTGATGCCACCCACACCTCATATTGTTCACAAATGAATTTAGGAAGTGGCAGGCAGACTTGGCAGGCAGACAGGATTGGCTCAAGCACAGCTGGGTTGCAATCTCTGCTCTGTTTCCTGCTATATCCAGGGCATATCAGGAAGCCTTGCAGGACTCCCTGGCCTGTCCTACCAAGCAGGACAGTGAGCCCACCCCTTCTGAATGCTCAGGAAACCCCCAGAGGTAGTTGTCCCTCGGCCTTACCTTGGAAAGCCTCACCAAGAAATGAAAGCCAACTGCTGACCCCCAGGACCAGGGAGCAGAAAATGAGGCCAGTGAGAAGCTTCATCCTGCTGAAATGAAAGATGAGGATGAAGGAGATGCTCACAGACCTGCGCCTCCCCCTTGGGTGTCTCTTATCCAAGGAGGCTCTGGTCACTCCTTCTTACTGCTGTTTGTGTGCCCTGGCAGTGCCCCCTGAGACCTCACAGCAGGACCCTCCTCAGAGACACAAGGCCTACGTGCTGACCCCGTCCTGCCGGCTGAATGACCTCTGTCTAAGAAGGCAGTCAGGCAGCAGGGAGGGAGCTGGCGGGCAGAGACCAGGTCTCTAGTCCCTCTGGGAGCCTCTGATTCAGGAGGACGCTTTTCCCACACATTCCCTCAGCCTGGCACAAGCCCTAGAGCAGGTGAGCAGAAGCGAGGAGCTCCTCTCGAGAGGAAAGCATGCTTGCTGAAACCCAGCACACAGTAAGTTTCTGTGCTTGGGTCTGTCCCTCACCTGATGTCTGCTGGGCAGAGCTGGTGGGCTGTGGCTGTAGGTGAAAGGAGGCTGGTATTTATGCTGAGCCCCCCTGCTGAGGTCAGGGGCAGGGAGAGCCTGGCATGGTGCCTCGGGAAGTCCCAGCAGCTCATTTCTTGTAAAGACAACAACAGAAACCTTTCTGATGCCCAGTGAGCTCTTCCTCCACGGGTCATTTTCCCTGATTGTGCAATGTGGACACAGAAGACAGTTTCCTCTGTTTTGTTTTGTCATTTTCTGGTTTGGGTAGACACTTGTTGCTTAGTGGAACAGTGCTGTGGCAAGAAAGGGCATCACGGTTGAAGACCAAGGCCATGTGCTGCTGTAATCCATGCAGCCGCCACCTTTCTATTCTCGTCATTGCCTAAGTGTGCCTGCTTGGTTCCGTGTGGCTGCTTCATTGAATTCATGTCTAAACTCCTATCACTGAGAGTTTACTCAAAATTATATATGCTCCTAGAGATGCCTCAAGCAGCTCCACTAACTGACAAACTATCACCTCTTCGGGAGGATGTCCCCATCTCTACTGTCTCAACACGTTAGCGGATGAATTAATTTTGTAAGCGGGGCACGGTTGTGGAGGGAGCTTTATATTTCCTCCGCTCAGACAGACTATCACCACAGTGTAGGTTTGATAAGGTTGAGAGATGCCTACACATCTACCATATTATGTAGTTTTAGGATTCATTTCAATACAGGAACAGACTCCGCATACACTGGGCCACAATCCATTGTACTCTTTCCCTTAGATGTCGTCTGCTGCCCTCCAGGACATGAAGTGCTTCCACTGGGTCAGTATGGGACAGAGCTGGAGACATTCTAGGTCTGGGACCAGGGTGGCTCTTCACCTCCAGGCTGTGTGGTTTCCACGTGCAGGCGTCTGGATCTTAGGCTCTATAGTAGGAACCCAGGGTCACAGGCTCTCCTGGGAAGTCTCCAGTATTTTGTAACAGGACTTTCTCTCAGAGAGCGTTGTGTTGAGGTGACATGGGGACAATGTCCTTGCTTCATCTGCCTGATGCTGGGATTATCGTGACCCAGTGGCTTTATCCCAAACCAAATCATCCACCCTGGAGTTACCAGAAACTGCTCATCTTTCAAGGGGTGGCAGAGTTACCAGAAAGATCACTGTTCCCTGGGCACTGGCCTTTGAGAAGCCACCTAGACTCTACAGCGTCACCGTTAGGCTGTGGGGCTGAAGGCAGGTCATTTTACACTTGAGTGGCTGAGTCATCCTTCCAAGGCATGGTGTAAAGAAGGAATAACTTGGTTGTAACTCTACTAACTAATTCACAAAGAAAGTGCCCTTCTCCTGGGAGAAAGCATGAGTTGTATGCGCAAGTAGAGATCTTGAAGGTAGGCCAGGCCTAGAAAGCCTTCTCAACTCACATTTGCATGCTGTCTGGGAATTTCAGAGAGGGAGTTCTCATTTCTGAACAACTGTTTCTTAGATGTGTAAACATCCCTTTTAGATGTCTAGCGCCCATGCACACTCACATGGCTTTCTCCGACTTCCACCCTCTCTCTAACCCCTGTGAATGGCGTATTGAACCCTCATTGCATATCAGAAGGCATCAGAGGGTTTCATTTCATACCCGTGGGTTTCCTGAGTGTCAACCCTGCACAGGCTAGCAGCCCACACTCAGCCACAGGCTGCAGCCCCTGTCCAGCCTGCTTTCCTTATCTCCCCGTCCTGACCATGCTTTCTGCACAGCACTCACTTATTTCTGGGTCACGCTCACCCATTCCTCACTGTCCCTGTAACCCCAACACAGGTGGTTTCCCTTTAGCTCTATTTTTTTCCCTTATAAGAAAACAAACAAATAAACAAAACAAAACAAAAAACAAAAGCAGTCTTTCCATCCCACTTTGAGTTCTTCTTTTGCCATAAAGAGCAAATAGTCTTTTCGACTCAACCTGTTTTGAGTACCTGCCAAATTCTTTATCAGCCTCTTTCCTGTCACACCAATGTTCTCTGCAAAGGTGAGTTATAAACCAAGTCTTCAAATCCAGATTTTCCTGGGCACCATCAAACATGCCAACTAGGACCTTCAAGTTCTGGCTTAGAAGTCTGTATTCTAAAGATCCCCACCAGGCATGCCTGAGGTTGAACATCTGTCAAGTAGTCTTCATCGAACAAGACATCGTTGTTTGTAATTTGTAGACAAAACTACCAACTGCCCTCCAAACATCATGGAAGAGCAAAAAATTCCTCCAGCATATTCACTGCAAATGATCCCAGTGATGTCAGCTAATCTCAGTGTTTTCTGAGTCATCATCCTCATCTCTGAATAATACTTCTGAATCTTCCAAAGCTTGGAATGCCTGGTGGTACTCTCCTTAGAGCACTGATATAAAAATACAAGGGGGTTGCAGAACACACATCAGTGTGGCTGAAGTGAGGAGGACAATGCAATGGAAGGGCGTGGGGAGTGACAGTGAGGGCAGCAGTTTGGGTGGTCTCGGAAGCCAGGATGAAGGCATGGGTGCTGCTCAGGAGTAGAGCCTGCTCTCCCCAACCCGGGATCTGACACAGTTTCACCTGCCTCATGTCTTGACATTGGCGGTTACTCCTCGAAGGACTGGTTGAGAGCAAAGGAGGAAACTCCAAAGCTGCTCAGGAAGCCTAAAGACCTTGAGGTGGTGCCTGCCAGCAGGTGGAAACAGGGCAGAGGGGAAGGTGTTTGCTTTCTGCGAAGTGTCCCTCTGAAGTTGTTATTCACATCTATGGAGGACCAGCTGCGTTTTCACAAGCCATGCCTCTGTGTGTTCCCATCAGGACACATCTATCTCTTCAAATATTTCTCATGTCTTTGGGGCTAAAGAAAACAATACTCAGAACCCTTTCCTCTAGCTTTTTGAGATCTTTAGCCTATTATTGGTTCGTATGCTAATCCCCCTGTGACACTGCATCAATGGAAGCTTCTTTTTGTTTCATTCTTAGCACCTGTTGACCAGCCTTTCCTCAGCCTCTGGTAAAAACACATCTGATCCCCACGGCATTGGCATCTTTAGATCCTGCACATTAATGAGATTTCTTGATAACTGTCTTTCTGTGTCTGGCTTGCTATAATGAACAATGTCTCAGTTCTATTTATAATCTTATAGTGGGGCAATGCTCCATTGGATGACTATAAAACATTTTTCTTTATCCGTTAATCAGCTAGGGCACTTGAGATGATCCCTCCGATTCTTTCCACTGATAAAGTTAGCCGTTTAAAGTGTGCTGGGACCTTTTTGCATTAGCATGGTCACACTCTTACCGTGTGGCCAGCACGGTACTTGTCGTTTTGTGCCATTTCCTTCCTTCTGAGCCAGCTGTAAACTCCCAGTCTGCACACACTACCTCCCCTCCTACCTCACACGCTGTCTATTTGACCATTAGGAGCCACTGGCCGTGTGACACAAGTCGGGTGCCGAGGTCAGGGATCCACACGGACTATTTGTCAAAAGTCTGGCTGCTTTCTGTGTAGGCTTCCTGGCTGCGCTCACAGATGCACGCACGTGGAGCCGTGAGTCCAGGAGAAAGCAGGCGTGCTGGGTTTCCTCCAGGCTCTCTATGTCCTGTCACACAGTGCCTCTTCCCCGTCCTTCTCCTCTCCTCCACCCGAAGAGAAAAACCTGTTCCCGTGACACTGTGGGGACCCCTCCCCAGCAGGCAGTGCTCACGGGCTTGGATTCTGTGTTATGCCCACATCTGTCTAGAGCCCACCACCCTCACTCACCCTTAATGAATCCCTTTTATGGATTATGGATTTTTATGAGTCCCTTTATGAATTTTATAATGTAAGAGTTTATTGAGCAGCCATGCCCACTTCCCCTGTCTAACCTTCAGTGTGGCTCCGGAACGTCCTCAGAAAAAATATTCCAGTGCCTTATCTTGAAATCACTACCTTAAACTGTCCTACAGTCCTGCCTCCAAGATCAGGCTGGTTCCACTCATGTCCTCACTGCTGCTCTTCACTTCTCCAGTTTCCTGAACACCAACACCTTTTCCAGCTTCCTCTCAGTGGACAGTTTTGCCTCCTGTTTTAGGGTGAAAAGGAAGCCATCAGAAATGCATCCCAGAGGCTCCCGCCACCGCAAGCATCAGTCTGCCCGTGGCTACTCCCGGCCTCTGCTCGATCATCCCCTAGGCCTACCATCCGCTTCTGTGTGTTTGGTGCCTGTAGACAGAGGTGACCCGCACGGGAGAATGATGTCAGCGTGAGGCTCCACCGCCAGACACTGGAGCACGGGGCCGTGCTGCAAGAAGACGCACCACACACCAGTGTCCCACAAGAGCCTGCTCTGAGACTGCGTCACCTCCAGCTTCCGACCTGCGTTCACAGGCATCTCTGTGTGTCGGACAGTGACTAGCCACATGGCTCCTTCAGTTCGAACGCCAACAAACCCTGGGAATGCATTTTTCCCTTGGCCATTTCTGAAATTCCTTTGAACTGTATGATGTTAAAATTGTTTCATAATTCTTATGTTTAATATGTTGGGTTTTTTTTAACTTTTGGAATTTGTCATATATGTTGTATCACTTGAAGAAGATGGAATTAACCCCTTCCTCTCCATGTCAGTGTGGACTGAACACAGAATGCTCACTAATGTGATCATTGGACAGTAATAAGGCAGTTGGTATTTTGGTCATTTCATTGCATAAAACATTCTCAGTAGATTTCTGAATAGATTTTCAAGAGGATCTGAAGATGGATGTATGTACTTCCTTGTACTACTTGTGTGTGCATATGTGTGTCTCTGTGAGTTAATGTACAACAGGTACGTGCATGCACAGAGGACATTGATCCTCTGAAACTGAGCTACAGACAGTTGTGAGCTTCCTGACATGGGTGCTGGGAACCAAACTCAGGTCCCCTGGAAGGGCAGCAAATGCTCTTGATTGCTGGACCATCTCTGCAACCGCAGACTGTTTTTTTTGTGTTTTTTTTTTTCCTTTTTTTAACTTGTGAAATAGTGAAAATAATTGGTGTTTACATCACAGGCTGGACCTTCCGGTGCAGGAAATGTGTTGGCCCAGTATTCCAGCTCTGCAAGTTGCACTAGAACAAACAT